CACTGGCGCCCTCACGATGGCTGGCCGCATCCCGTTGATCCAGCGCCTCACCTGGCAGAGCAGCGTGCTCATCATGGCGAGCCACGCCGTGCACCAGGCCGAGCGCCTCGCCACGAGGGACGACCGCCCGCTCGTCTTCAACGCGTGGTTCCCGTTCGACACCGCGGCGAGTCCTGTGTTCGAATTCATCTACGTCTCGCAGGTGAAATGAACCACGACGTCCTATTTTTAAGTACGAGGGTCGAAAGCAAGGGGAGCCCCTCTGAAACGTCGGTCAATTCCTACCACACCAGACTGTAAGCTCTTAAAAACTGCTCCGTGTGTCCAGACCGTCACCGCTCTGTGGTTCACGGTGTCACTGACGTCGTTCATCGGGCTGTACGCCATGCTGGTGGCCGTGGGGTGCACCCAGCTGCAGAAACTCAGCGCCGCGCTGCTGGGGGCGTGTGTGGAGCGCGGACTGAGGGACCGAGTGCTCCAGCATCAGCACATCCTGCGGTAAGGCACAGCCGGCTCTGAGTGAGGCCCCAAGGCGTCTTTTGCGAGCACACAAACGAGACGTTTCGCTTTGTGTCTGCAGGTTCCTGCGGGAGCTACAGGACACGTACCGCCTGGTGCTGGTCGGCCCGTTCCTGCTCATTGCCTGTGGGATGTGTGTCAACACGTTCTCCATCCTGCTGGTACGTAGTGCGGCCTGCGATGGGAAATACCCAAGGGGACCGGAAAGTAGACGGGGTGCCTCAGTATGGGTTTTGAAAACTCGCGGCTCCATTCCCAGTCTTGGCGGGCGGAAGTTCGTCTAAACATTATTTCAGAATTTAGTCAATTGGTTAATCCTGTTCGAGGCAATAATCGCTGTTTGTTCTGAGAATCGTACGAAATGCAGTGCTGGGCTGATGATTATTAAAGGGGGCAGTGCACATGGTCTTTAAAGAGCCAGAACTGCCCACAGTTGTCAAACGTGACTAGAAAGAACATCGCCATTTGACTATGACCTGGGTAATAACGGCTTACTAACGCCTCGGAGTAACCCTGACTTCCGTCTCGAGGTAAAACGTCCTCCCGACACTTGAGTAACCCATCCTACAAGAACAGAATCCATGACCTCACAAGACGCGGGGTGTTGTGTTGGCAGAGCTGGGGCAACGCGACCGATACCCTGCAGGCCCTGACGCTCATCGTGGCTCTCACCTCGCAGCTCTACGTCTACTGCTGGTTCGGCAACGAGCTCACCGGCCAGGTACGTCGCGTCGGCTAAGAATCTGCAGAATTTCACTGGTATCGCACTAACGAGCCCGTCCGTACGTGTCTTTTCGCAGAGCGCCGAGTTGCGGGAGGCCGTGTGGGGCTGCAGCTGGGTTGGGGCACCCCTCCGCGAGCAGCGCGCACTCCTTTTCATGATGGGGTCTGCCAATGAGTTCACACTGACAGCAGGGGGCATCATACCCGCGTCGCGACACACCCTGATGCAAGTGCTGAACCAGACTTATTCATTTCTCATGTTCCTCATGAACTTCATGGATGACTAAAGAACGAGGAGTGGGGGAAGGCAATGGCCAGAGCACAACCTGAGGCGGGAGTCCCACCCACACATCGAGTAAAAAATTTCCTTGCAACGGAAGTTGATTCAACGACCAAAGCATCAATCTCACGCAATAGATAGAACTTGTAAGCAACAAATCAAGTCCCTTCTACTACCACGGTAAACTTTTAAGATGCACGAGCCATAATTACAATAATGAACTGTCCACGTTATATTATCTTGCATTCTCTCTTCATCGCTTTGATTTTTAATAATACCGACTGTAAATAAACCTTACATATAAAGCAAAGTTTGCATTATATTCTACGGCGTTCGCTGCTATAATAATTACGTAGAAATCGCATTAAGCATTTAGTACTAGAGACACACAATTCTGTAACACACACACAACAAAGCAAACATTATTTCTGTACTCACCGACAGCCCTAAGGCGAGACAAACCTTCATCGGAACACGTAGTTAGTTCTATTTGGTGGGTCCAAGAAACGAAAACGAGGTTAAAGAATCTTTACGTCTTCAAAAAACACTACACACTTCCGGCGTTCATGTGAATTTATAACAGATCGGATACCTAAAGCACAATGCAACACAATTTTTTCAAAAAGCTACAAACTCACTCTTCACAGTCCAAACATCGCGACATTTTCTCTAAGAATGAAAATAAACGAGAGCGCAAAAACAAAAGACGCACGACATATCGACTACTGGAGAGTGCGTTTATTATGCAGATGATGTCAACGTCTACACTCGATCTATCAAATCATTCAATACTAAATGCGGCCTTCGTATGAACTGACAATAAAAATATATTTTACAATCACAAAACTGCCAAAACTCTACACAATCGAGGATATTTCTTTCCTATCCTCGTAAATTATTGCACAATTTAAATCGATACGTGTGCGATACTAACGTACAATCGAATACAAATCTTTCAGTTCTACTGCAATCAATTTTTTTTAATATAAAGTATGAGAAACTGGTGTGTAAACATTCAAATCATAATAATATTCCAAAATTTTATTGGCATTTATATCTTGATTTGCACACAGTTAACTGAATATTTGGTCTCACAAAAATGTGATGAAACAACAAATATTAATGATTTACCAATAAACTAGGGACAGAAATTATCTAAAATTCATAAAATTATTATACGAGGAAATGACTCAAAATACAAACACTTTGACTCTCCTCAGAACACAAACGAAAATCAACTGGGATATCTATCACACTTTCATTCTTTCTTCCTCTCATTTATCTATTTGTACCTTTCCTTTATCTCAGCCCTTCTCTTCTTACATATTCCTTTTCCAGACGTTATTTCAACATTTTTGTCACCCAGATTAGAATTACTTCTGAGAGCTGTCTAACAGCAGCAGCTCTCATAAAACATAAAATTTAATCATCCACTACCTTTACCGAAAACTTTTAAACATACGCGAGCACATAACACAGTCTTATATTACAACATAAATTATAACATGGACGTGAGGTAAAACGTAACAGATGCTTCACCTGCAAAGAAGATCTCACCAAGTTCACATGTCCCCCCCCACCACAGGCTTCAAATCGCAAAACACACTTACACGCTACATATTCAAATAGAATTGCTCAGCAGCACGGTTGGAAGTGGTCTTAGCCACCAGCTGATTATTTCCACAGGACTGTTTAATTAAACCGTATCCACTGATTGCAGACATCATAACGATTACCCCCAAAAATGACAAAACAGGAACCAACTCCAAAAATTCATCCACTGCAATAATTTATTTTACAATGTGAGCAGTCACTGCCACCGTCGATTCGGAGCATCCATCTTCTTCCACCGTTCAGCAACGTTCATCAGACTTGAAAGTACACGTTTCTGTGCAAATAATTTCATACAAAACTACATATTACATAATAAATACATTTGTCTGCATTTGTTTCATTCTTCTAGCAGGCTTACCACTGGTGTTCTTCGACACCTGACAAATTATCACCTCAACTAATGCGATCATTTCTGTTCATACCAAAACGTGAACCGACCGCATAGAAAACCGGATAATATTAAAGAACAGGGTCCAGTGGTCATGGGAATGGACTTTGTGCTCCATAAAAATGGAAAATCTTATATGAGATTTTGGATTTTCACAATGTGAAAATGCGGACTGCCGTCTTCTGGGTTATGACGTGGGATATCCTTCTAGGTTGTTGCCAACATTCTACCCTAAAGACGTAAGGGAAATATTCCTTCAAAATGTTGTTAACCGCCTACAAGACCACGTGGCGTCACAACCCAGAAGACCACGTGGGATATGTTGACCAGCCGAGTAACAAAGGCCGTATCACGGAATCAGTATCAAACAAAGTCCACGCTCGGATTGGTCGTCACCCAGTGCGTTCGGTTGCCACTGGTTGCGTTACCCTGTAATGACAGCCAACGATGCCTACACTGCAACAAAAGTAACCTGGCGTATCCGCTGCTATCACGTCAGAAGGAATTCATAAATCAAGGTGACAAAAGATGACCCCTTGTTACCAGGAATAACTCGACAAATTACCGGGGGAACTAAGAGGAGGCCCTGCTACTTTGCACACTTAAGTGAGACTAATGGCTAGTACAGCAAGCAAGCAGAAGAACAAAAAGGACAAAGCGGCTATTCAGACAAGTCAAAACACAAAACTAACACCACCACAACAATTTCTCGCATGTATAACTGCAGATTAAATTGATGCTGTAGAGTCTCCATGCACCCAGCAAAACTCAGGCCTCTACCATCGTAGGATTCCAATTGCCCATAAAAAACACTCAAAACATCGAGACCACATACTGAAGGCTCTAGGTGAAACCTAGAATCGAACGCCAAGCGGCATCAGCGTTATACATGTAGACACGATGAACCACCACATCAATTCAGCAGGTCTATTCCTTGGTCGTGGCCCGCGACGAGTCTTCTTCGTCTGCGTATATTCTCGGTGCTTTAGGCCACAACCACCACAAAATTTCCTTCAAAGAACCGACTGCCATTTCCAACACTCTCGATGTCAGCACAGCGAACGGCCGCATCGCGGCTACCGCGGCCATCAGGCCGATCAAAAGACGACGACGCGCCGGAAATTAATGTTGGGAAACGAACCACGTGCATCACTTCAGTGTTTCCATGACAAAAGCAGAACTTCTGAAGCATTTATATTCACTACACTCCAAGTTTAAGCAATGAGTGAGGCTTCGTCACGCTGCTAAGAATTCATCTGTGGCACCGCGTCATAAATTTGTTATAACACCACCAAACATACTTCAAAGTTCTGATACCACTGAGCACGTAATTTAAAGCGATCATTCGGCGTTAAATTCCGATATTCGAGCAGAAACAAATTTCCTCCAGGCAAATTCTGAAACAGTTTCTTAAACCAGTCTTCCTTACAAATCCTTTCTAATTTAATAAAATGTTCCATTAACACTTACCCACCCCCAACAAATGTCAATATGACAATAATATCACTGAAAGCTACAAAACTCTACTGACGATACATTAATATTTTGCCGCTCTTGCAACTTCAACTGTTGCTGTACTTATGACGTTTTTTCTCATACTGTACAGCTGAGACAGACAGAGGTCGTTACATTTACTGGGAGGCGAAATCAAACTGAACTAAGAAAGATGTGAACTGTACTCGCATCATTGAACGTCAGGCACAGACAGGTTTACTTCTGGTGCGGATGCACCGTCACTATCAACAGTCCCAGTGGAATTCCTGGTGACCGTCACTGATCGATCACTATATTGTCGCCCCTTGGAAGGTAGCGTCACATCTCCATGTGGTAGCTCCACTTCCATGGCACGCACGCTCGTGACTGCCGGACTGCACGGCGGTTTCCACGACGGCTCTGGTGAAACATCCATTACAACTTCTTTCGTGATCGGTGGCCAGAGACGATTGCGTTTCAGGGACGACTCCACGGCCAGGAACTTCTTGCGCGATCTGTCTATGTCGTGGAACCGATAGCGCAACTTCCTTGACACGATATAGTCAATAATGAAGTACTCTATAAACACTGCCAACACAGTATTCACAAGTGCCAACATCACCATAATTAGACGGAAGTCCATCACAGGGGGCACCATGAGTTCAAATGCGTTACGCAGCCACTGTGCCGGATCCAGAGCGAGGTACAATGTGAAGCCAGTAAGAAATACTAGTGACACCAAGAACCCATAGTTACTGAATATGGACTTCCTGTAAGGGGCCCCTTTAGAGAACACAAACGCCAAGATAATGTACTGCAAACTGGAGACTGAGAACAGGGCATAATTTTCAAAACACGCTATGCTGTCATCCTCATCGACGGCTGTCGAGTTGTACGGGACAAACCAGGGCGTCTGTTGTACCCAGTAGAATGACGCCCACTGCACCGCAATCACCACCGCTAACTGCATCAACAGGGACAAGATTGGAGAAAGGGAGATAAGGGAAAGAATTGGGGGTTGTTTCACTAGTGGGCCTTCAAATGCTTCTGTGCGACCAAAAAAGAAAGCAAACACAGTGATGACAAACAGATCAATGTAGAGATACTCAATGTCTGTGAGGTTGTTGTCAATGGAGTACAAGATCATCACGGTAACAAACTGTGTCAGCGAGTACGCCGCCATGTACTTAAAGATGCCAAATGACGTCACCAGAGCTGCGCGGCCCTCTCTTATGACCCTCGGAACGCACGAGATGTTTGCCTCTTTAGATGTGAAAGGGGAAGCAACAGATGACTCTGCTTCAGAAAGTGAAATTCCAGTGTGCGCCGCCTTCAGCGCTCCGCAGTCATTAGCACCATCGCCACACATGGCTGTCAACAAACAAAAACACATTTCATCTGAATAATTAGCGGTGGGACGCTTCAACAGAGTCATCACATCCGCCCCACACTGCTGCTACTCACCCACGTAGTATCCCAGGGCCTGCAGCTCCTGGACCAGCTGCTGTTTCTGGTCTGGGCTCATTCTTGCAAACACCGTTCCTCTCGTCACCAAGCTCGGGATTGTATCCGGGAAGTAAGTCTTGGCAATTGACCAGGTCTTTCCTGTCATCACAAAGCAGTAGCTGCTGCCTGTCGTGGCTGCACTGTCATCATCGGCGGGACTGAGGGCGCCTGACTCGAGGGTCTCAAAACTGATGGCACTGGAACTGTTGGGCAGGTCACCAGCGCAGTGCTGTGCAGAGTAAGCGTTTCTCAGGACGGACTACAGTCTAAACCAACTGAATTTTCAGCTGCACATGATTGAACCTCAAAACAGTAATCAGTTCATATAAATTACCCCTAGTTTTAACTTGCTTTACCTTCCTATCTGCACTTTGAATGATAAAGGAAAACCAACCTTTTGTTTTCCCGTGGCGTAACAAAGAACTGACTCACATTCCTTTCAAGGTACAAGGTTCCTGAGAAGAATTTTTTAGTGCATTTGTGTTTGTTTCTGTCTCGAAGTACAGCGATCATGAATATGTCGTTAATATGACCGCAGACTGCAGACAAATCTGTGGTCTGTCTGACTTTCAGAAAACTACTGCGGGCCAACGCATGCCGTGATAACACCGGCCAATCAGGTGCCTTACAGACAAATCTAAGTAAAGGGCCAATACAAAAAGCATGTTCTGAAATAGCCTCTCTATTCTTGCCATCAACCTGAACCTGACACAGTACAATTCCTCCTACTTGAATAAGATACATACAATGTACTGTACTGTACATACCGCATAACTCTTGAAACGTCGGTAGCTTCAGTGGTTTCACTTGCAAATCCAACCTAATATTTTTGGAAGTACCTCCCATGAAGCAGGGTCCTTCTTGAGAAGCTAACAGTTGCTCAGTTAATCAAGAAATTCTCCACATTTCATGAAAATCAAAGGTGCACCACAGAGGTAAGGATAACAAAATAAAATATTCCTAGTTCTATTTAAACGGCACTTAGAACTTTTGTCCAAACAAGCAACGTATGAAGTGTTTTAAATTTCTTACAGAAGAAATATAACCACATTACAGCCCGGCAAGGGAAACAGAAATGAAACAGTTGGTGCCACTGTAAGTATTAACAAGGTGCATTATTATTATCATCTACAGTAAGGGTGAGTGCAATTTCATTCACAAGTTAAAAAATCTCACCGCAGTTGGAGGCGGAGGCATGTTACTGCTGGCATTGGTGTAAAGTAGTTGAGCGGGCTGTCCCGAGTAGCTTGAGAGCCCGCAAGCCACCACAACCCGCTGTCCTAATGGGATTATCCCACAGTCACGTGCCACACTCAGCGCAGTTAACATGTTGTCACCTGTGGACACACAAGGAGGTCCAGCGTCACCTGTGGCACCCAGCACGTTAACTAGAGCTCACGTCTAAATGCCAACAGAACTTAATATTTCTGACAGTTTAATTTTCTGTTCTTCACGAGAAATACTTTTAATCCTTCAACTTATAAACTGTAAACAAAACACTGTTATCGCCTACACGGAATGAATTACGCAGAGCACTGAATGGTTTATGTAACAATGCTGTAAGTAGCTCAGAATATTTATCATGAAGTGATAGCATGATTAGTGAATGATTAATTGGAGGGAGTGAGGAAGACCATGACAGTTGACATCTGAGCCAAGATTTGAACCCGGGACATCGCAAATAAGAAGTAGTGCTAACCTCTCAACTGTGACATTTGGTATCACCATGGAGCTTACACTCACCTGTCACCATGATGGTTCTGATGCTGGCATTATGCAGCATACCAATTATGCCATTGGTTTCTGGCTTCAGCCTGTTCTCCATGACGATGAGTCCCAGGAATATGAGGTCTGATTCCACATCTTCCCTAGCGACGCGCTGCACCTTCAGATAGCTTATGCGAGGCAGCCATTTGTATGCCAGAGCCAGCACACGGTAGCCCTCCTGCGTGTACTCCTCAAGTACCGAGCTCATGTCTGCCGGCACTGGAATAAACAAGAACACCTGCCCCTTGAGACACATCCCTTGTTTTGTGCGCAGGAGAGACAAATCCACACACACACCACCGGAAACCATGAAGGTACAAGACCATTTAGGGCAGGATCACAATACCAGAACAGAACTTACAGAGATACACTGTGAGGATGTGGTTCAGTTGGTAAGGGGCAGCGATGGCCCAGTGACCAGCTGAAAATATGTCAACCGCCAGTGACACTCACTCCGTGCACCTACCTGTCTCTGGCTGGGACAGGGACAATATCATCTCAGGGGAACCCTTGCAGTAGGCCTCAAACTGCGATGCCCCGAGAGTTCTCGTAATGACACTCATGCGCTGCAGGCTGGAAGAGAATGGAAACTGGCGCACGATGCCAATCTCCAGTGGTGACTGCAACATGACATCGTGTACATCAAAACTGATGGCTGACACAAACTGGAAATGCACAGTGACATATGGCTGACTACAAGAGTCAAGAGTTGAGGTAAACCATGGGAGGTCAGAAAGGAATATTATTAAAATGGATGCTGGGGAAGTAGACTGTGCTGACTGAGATGAGAACAAAATACAACTGGTGAGCTCTGAAGAACAAACCCAAATGCAGAATCTTATAATGAAAAAAGAGCTAAACTACAGACAAAAATAAAAGTTGTACAATTTTTTGTACAGTAGTTGGTTTTCATCACTTCATGCTTTGTTCCTTCTCGTCCAATCAGAATCAAATTAAGCTTATGTCAACTGACAACGCATTCAGATAACGACAAGAAGCGTATTTTCTTTCAATGCTTCTAATAAACATTCTGTTATTTTGTATTATACTAATAAAGCCACCTTAAATTTTCAATACCATAAAAAATTTGAATGCTGTACACACATAAGCCTTTCTTAACTTACCAAAGTTCAAAGTTGACTCACCTCAATGTCATCTACACTCTGCAGCACAATGCTTGAACTCGGCGGCTTCACCACTGTCGGGAAGATCATATCATATTTTGAAGTATCACTCACTTCAGGCTCCTCTAGCAACCAGCCTGTGGACTCAAACATCTGCAATAATCGAACGACAACTCATCACAGTTCCACTCGGAGCGAGTGATCACGTGCAGGAACTGACGATCAGATCGTGGCGGGACTGAGGTAGAGTTACCAAGTTCCTTGGTATGAGACCAACGACTGAGGTAGAGTTACCAAGTTCCTTGCTAAGAGACCAAGAGTGAACTTAACCCAAGTTTCTTGTTTTGTTTGACGACATTACGTCCACTGTATCAACCTACAATAAAGGCTACCAATAAAATATATTCTGAGTTACAGTGACCTAACACACCATTAACTAACCTTCAGGTCAAGTGGGTCACCACTCAGCTTACTGTCAATAATGGTAAGGGAGTGGCATGTCACCATGCCCACCAGGAACTCCTCCCTGTAGTCCATCTTGTCAACGTTCTTTACCGGCACCTGGAACTTCCTGTTAGACACAGGCACTATGCCCCACATGTCCAACCCATCCTCTGTCAGGGTGCCAGTCTGCAAAAGTTCAGTCGGTTCAGCCAGCTTTGTGAAGCTCATTTCATAACCCCAACATATCCACGCGCTCTGCATTCACTGCACGGCTTAAAAATCAACAAACGAGGTCCTCTGGAGCAACAAACTGTCAGAATTGCACTCACAAGGAAATTAAGAGCAGACTCAATTTTGAGGATGCGTGCTAGATTCTTTTGTTTCCAAATCTGCTGCTAAAATTGCAAAGAATAAAACACACAAAAGTATAATTTTACACGTTGTTTTGTATGGGTATGAAACTTGCTCCTTCACATAAAGGGAAGAACACAGACTGAGTGGGAGAGTGTGAACAGGATTCACCTTGCTCTGGACAGGATCCAGTGCTGGGCTCCTGAGAACACAGTAATGGAGGGCTCTGCTGCATGGAGTTACTTAGCGCTCTCAAAATCACAATTTTGTGCTGCAAGTGCTTACCTACTGTTATGGCTAAATTTTACATTTGTGCTCCGTATTCATACAAACTCTAAGGACCCTACATGGAATAACACTGCTGTTTATTTCATATCACAATTCCCTTCTGACATGGAAGGAAAGCTTTCGATTATTCCCGAAGTTACAAGTGAGAGGTGAAAGTACATTAAATTAAGGAAAATATAAACACCTTATCAAAACACACACAGTTGATGGAGCCAGACACATTGATCGTACGTGGACTAATGCAGTATACATTCTTTGCCTGAAGCCTGTTCTGAGCATATAACCGTCCAACTGTCATGGCTGCTGGCAAGGCTGGTGGTACAACAATAGTAATCAGGTCCAGCGATTCCACTGCGATGTCAGACACGCTAATTCCTCGCATGAACTGCCAACATAAACATTCAGTATGTTACGTGACTGATATCATGAAACAACAAAGTACATTCTACTGTTAAGAAATGGACAGATCTGCTACCTTAGTGATGACAGTGTATATGAAGCCAACACTGGCGATGCATGCCAGCAGCTCCACAAACTTGTACGAGTCATGTTCAAACTTGAAGTCAACGGGTGGGGGGTACATGATGGAACGCACTAGATTCCCTTTCACAGTTGAGAAACCTGTGCGTATCACCACGGCCAGCACATGCTCACTACCAAAATATCGCGTCTGAATCACTTGAGTCCCACAGAAAAGAATGTGGCGAGCATGCTCCTTGTCATCAAATGGTACGTCCGAGTTTGGCAGCGGCGTCTTGGTCACTGGCACGCTTTCTCCTGCAAGATAAGGGCAGTCTTTGCAGACAGCATGTTGACAACTGGGTGGAAAGAAAGCTATCGTGATAAGTCACTGTAACGTATATTGCACTCAAGCAGAAACTCTGCAGATACAAATCTATTAATGCACGTAAACATGCCGGTAGATGAGCCGTCCCTAGACACAACAACCATTTTCCTTATAAACATAACAATACTCTCGTCCTTTGCCGTCCTTCTCCGAGACTTATTATTCAGAAGATAGGTTGAAACATCTAAAGAATTACAACATGGGCCAAGACCGTGTCCCTTTTCCGGGCATTTACATACACATCAAGTTTCTCATCTTAACTCCATCTGCACATGTCTGAAGTTGTTGCGACAAATTGATATACACAGAAAGAAAATTCACGTACACGATTTCACGAGTTGTGCAACAAAACTCAGGCTATAATTTTCTTCAGTTTGGAACCTGACCTGTGAGCATGCTCTCATTGATGATGCAATTTCCCGTCAGGAGGGCAGCATCACAGTGCATCACGCAGCCATGTGAGGGCACCACCATCACATCCCCTGGGACAAGGTGCTCAGTAGGTATCGTATCCATCTTGCCTGTGTCACCACGTATCACCGTCACCACATCAGAGGAGTGCACTGTGCTGCGTAGGTTCCGCTGGTTCTGCAACGAGGCAAACCCACTTTTAGAGACTTGTCCCTCACACATCTAACCCCCTCCCCCCCCCACCCATGTTACATGTCCCAGGAGTGTAATGAAAATTCACTGTTTTGCATAACATCAACTTGGAGGGATGCCCTAAAATCACAAAGATGTGCCAGCTGAAATATGAACTGGGGATCTTCTAATACAGAAACATAATTTATTACACAGACTCTCACGTTAATGACAATGGTCAATGATTGAGATGTTGGACATTGCCACACACACAGTGCAGTCAACCTGACATAATGACACTTACTTTTTGAGTCTGCATGATTGCCATCACAATACCAAACACAGACATGGCCAGGATCGCCAATGCGTAATACATGTAATCATCAGCAAACCATAAGCAGAATGAGAACAGCTGGAACACATAGAATGGGTTCAGCACCTCCAGGAAGAGGAGTGTGATTATGCCCTGGATAGGAACATTTATCTCGTTGCAACCGTACGCCACGCGCCTGCAACACACGAGCAGTTCGTCATTAGGCTACATCACTGTCTTTTTGCCAACCGTCAATTCTATAGGCAAGAGAGAGAGAGGTTGAAACATCGTTTGTTAAGTGTACCAACTCCATGTTTGATGTGCCAAATTTTAAACAAGGGTCTAAGTAGTAATGGCAGCTACACAAAAGTTTTACAAGAATAATAAAGTATTCAGAAAAATAATAACTCTAACCGCTAACAAACCACCTCTACGGCCTGGTCATTTTACCTCGTGCCCTGCTGATGGGCTGAAAGACCCTCCTGCTGGTGTAACGCTGAAGTGCTGATGTCTCTGTCTAGACCACATAATTTGAGGAACTCTCCACGGCCTTCATCCCAAACATAGATCAGTTTCTTGCAGCGGAACAGACGCAACGATGGCAACTCTGAAATAACAGCCACTGTGAGCGAGGAAGATTTCAACTATTTGCTGGCACTACAGCTGTCTCAGTACACTTACCCTTGAAGACACCTCCTGAGAGGTGCACCGACAGCTTCACGTCACTGACGCCCTTCATGTCGGTCAGCATCTGGTCATCCCACGCGACGGGATGTTCCGTCCTGCAAGAACCAATATGAAGGCAAGTAAATAAAACAGCATAACTTAAATACACAATTAACGTGGCTTCACACTGCGGACACTACCGAGGTCATTACGACGATTATCGGCGCAGCACGCAGTTTCTCCAAGTCAGAGAACAGGCACGCCTAACATAAGGGGTTTATTCAGTTGCAAACTGCCAGTTAGTCACTGTGTCTCACTGCATATAACCTGCAGGAATGTCTTGGGTACTTGCGGTTCAGGTCCTTTTAAGTAGGAGGAGGATTTGAAAGCTTTCCTGAAAACGTCTGCTTCAAACAGCAGGTACTTCTCTCCTCATATGCCAAGCGCAGGCAATTTATTTAATTACCACCATGTCATAGGTCAAAATTTCACCTCAAGCAAATTGCTGAAAATGTGGAAAGCTAAATATTGCAATGTATAAGTCATCCAAATGTGTACAAATTGTCCTAAAAGAACATTTCAAGGCTGTATGATGAAAGTGCACAGAAATACTTACTGCGTGTTGCTATCGTAAGAAACGGTCTCCACTGACTTCACATAGAAACACTTGTGATTGTTCTGGTACAGCTCCTGAAACACAACCGCGACACACAGACTTGCAGCGAAGGTGTTTGTACGTCAGCATATGGCTCTCACAATGAGGGATACTATTTTGAAAGCATTCCTCGTGAGCTGGAGGGTGTGACATGCTTTAAATAATCTTGTAAGAGATAACACTTTGCTGTTTACCTCAGTTTAGTTCAATTAGAATTTCTCAAGGCTCCTGATATAATTACTCATCAAATTTCAATCATAACTGAACTTAAATCACTAAGAATAACTTCTCCTTTCACGCAGACTTCTCTGTTATAGTTCACAATCAAGTGCGGTGACTCACCCGGTCTATGAACGGCGTATTCAAGCGCCTTTCGGAACTGTTAACAATACCAACTGTTCTACTTGCTTTCAATTCACTTACAGACCCTTTTATTTGTCCTTACAAGTCACTCACCACAACAAGAACTTTGTCAGCAGTTCTGAGCGGACACTTTCTGTGCGTAGCATAAAGCATCCATTGGGGCCACCAGTGGAACACAAGGCGCAGCACACCGCCGGTCAGCCCGATCAGAAGCCATGTGATGGAAGTCAGCAGAAGCTGGCACCGGTAACCATGCACTTCCTGCAATCACGATAAAGACCCTTCCAAGACTCATCCATAAAACACAACACATTTTGAAAACACCATTAAATGTACTTAATATTCGCTGAATTACAGCTGAAATGGAAGACTTCATCTACACTGTCCAACTTGGACAAAGTTAACAATTTTAAAATGTCACTGAAGAATCTAAACAGAACTTTGAGATACCTGCAAATGAGACCAACTCTTGATTTGATTATAAAATTGCTACTAATTATATACGTGTAACAACTTCAATGCACGTCACGGAACACAATCTTGACCTGGTTCACATGACCAGAACCTCTTTCTGCAAAATCTCCCCAGTCATCCGAGCAATCATAATCCAAGAAGGTGCACCATTTCCCTGAAATCCTTAACAGGTGTACAACACCACATGACTTACCATCTGGTCCTCTTCCCCTGGGTTGATGTAGTTGATGCCAGACTGCAGTGGTGGGGGGCCATGATTATTCTCCTGAGCTCCTGCAACACAAAAGGTGTGTTACGACCACTTAAAGAAGTAATATGACATTGCGGTTTTTAAGACAAGACAGAAACCACTATGGATGTGGAACAATTGATAAGAACTTATTTCTAATCAAAGGCCATGTGGTTACTGGACAGTGTTCAGTAATGCAAACCACTATCCACTTAACATTTGATACTCAATAATTTCAAAGTTATGTGCCACCAGTGTTAATTATAGTTTTATTTTTCAAGATTTTGAACAAATGTTTGACAGAAATTGGAACAATATGTTCACAGAATAACCCAGTTTGGACTGCGACAGTATCACAGCACCAGCAGGGAAAAGGTTAGGAAAGGTACTGTCTTCTTTCCAAGGTCCAATTATTTTAGGCCAAATTTTATATCCTGGTATAAATCTCGTATCATTCAGAGACGCAACGTGTTCCTGAGTCCAATTTAAAGTTATTTCATCATGTCCATTATCTCCTGGGCAAGGGCTTTATCTGAAAGACTTGCTCAACATTCTTAAAGAATGTTCTAGTAAGCTAAAATAGCTTTGATAACAATACTGACTTTGTGTGTCTTGGTCTGGGGCTACGCAGACTGAATTAAAACCACACATGGCTTGTAACATCTAGGGAATTAACTAACAAGTGACTTAACCTTTGAGGAGCTCCATGTTCTGGTCATGCTGTGCATTGTTCACCTGGCAGTACGGGTTGCTGTGAAAGTCCAGCTTGAATGGATTGGGTGTTCCCGGCATACTGATATTACGTATTAACAATACACACAGTTCTGCAGCACACACTTAACAGAATACACAAAACACTAACACAGCTATCAGTCTGGACAACTCTTGCCGTGGCAAAGGAGAAAAAGCCGGTGTCAGTCTCCGGGATCAGGTTTCTTCCAGCCCACATATGGGCACAAGGCCACCCTCACAATGTCCATCAATACGTAGGCAGGGTAAAGTGTGGAATAACTTGGCAACATCATGAGCTCAAAGGGTGCCACTGCGCTCATCTACAAGATGGTGGTATGTCTGAAGTTAAACAGGTACTGCCATGGGTTCCTCACAAACAGCAGCGTGCACATCAGAAGGGACATGGTCCTGCAGCGAAAATTAAGGGGATTCAGCGGAACCTGCATACCTTTCCTAAACTATGATTCACATTTAAAATTATAACATAATTCTGCCATGTTACTTTAATTTCATAGCTTGGTTCAAACGTGAAGAAAGAATAAAGGACTCACCTTTTTCACGTTCTAAGAAACATATTCATAAAGTAAAATACACGAAAAAAACGCTATTCTACCACACATAATCCCATCCTATACAATTTTGATTAGGTTCTGGAATACGGAGACACTTGAACGAGTGATGATGGCAGGTTCCCATCAACGGAGAATTACCAACAAACCAATAGTACATTACCCTCAAGTTTTTCCATCTTCGGTTACCCTAGTATAGGGCAAACTACATATATACGAAAAAACTGCTCACAAGTACGGTTTAAAATTGATAGCAATAGTTTATCTGCGACTTCGGCCAATTTCCTGACGTTAATGTTCTTATCAACAAGCATTATAAAAACAAAAAAGAGTTGAATATACTATACTTCAGTTGGCAGACTCTGGAGAGTTTTCGGCTCTGCCAACTCATTCATTGGGTTCACACGCTTTCAAGTATACCTCTAACCTTATTCTGTCTTACAACTATCAGAGCATTCCAACCATAAAGGTTATATCTCAAATTCCCGCAAGTCTGTAACACACACAAAAAAAAAAGAACTTTCCTGATACTGATTGACACCATGCCGGCTTGCTCTCATACCCAGCAACTGTACTGTTAAAAATTATCTTATCATTCTCTTCTTTCGAGAAACACCGAAAAAGAAAAGGCAAGCGCTGTTTTTTATATCAGCAATAAACAAGTAAATGGTCCACCAACAGTAAACATAGGGAAATTTCTATTAGTTACATACCAATGCTAACACAAATCAATTCACAACACTCAACCACACTTACACAATGAAGTGAAATTTCCTTATAGCTACGCGGGATCGAAATATAAGGTTTCAGCATTTTCTTCAAGCATACACGTAATCCAGACCACGGATTATTAGCACTTACGATCTATACCCTCACCATAGTATCGTGCAGTTTGCAATTAGTTTTGTATCGAACCGTTTCTAATAAATGACTTATTCACGTTAATTTATTGAGTCACACAAATAATAATATATGTGAAAAACAAGAGCAACTGCATTAATTGAACAAGCGAACACATTTCCTTCCATTCCGCGGTTAACCTCACACATTACGTCTACAACATGCTGTCGCAACTGACCTATGATGTAACACGGGAACAGTGTTGCCATCACCCGTCAAACCAGATTCGCATATTTGCGTAACTTAATTTGGAGGAGATTTAACAAGGGCAGAATAAGTTGACCTGAATTATACAAAAATTATTAAAGTATTCCAAATACTAACATACATTGAAAATTCAAGAATATCTGCATAGCAGAAGTATTTTTAAAAAATTTAAATGCCAGACATTTTCAGGAAAAAACAGTATTGAAATGTGCAGGGAACTTCAGTTGGGGAATATTGAGACTCCATAATCATTGAATGTACGAAAAAATAAAAGAGTCCTTACAGAAAGAGGTCGAAGGTGGATTGCAATTAATCAACAGGACGAAGAGTGAAAGACAGGTGAAGCCAGAAAGAGAAATCTGAGGCCGGTACAGGCACTAAGTTGCGACGAAAAGAGGACGTTTGCCCTTCGACGACGATTAATCAACTTATTATTATGGAACGAATGACACCTGGTCAGTATTCTTGGAAACAAAGCGATGCGAGTTCTAGCCGAAGAGGATGCTATTTGATGAAGTCTTCGACACGAAGAACGTGTCCGTAACCTTGCAGGAACACTTCCAGCTCCATTGTCAGAGGTCACATGCTGGGGCGTGGGAGGTTCAGAACAATGCAGGAGCTCGCTTGGCTGAACCAAACACGGATGGGACTCATTACGTTCTAAGAGCACGTCAAAGGAAAGCCTAAATATACATAAGTTCTTTAGGTAAAATATAATAATAACTACCAAAAACAGAGAAACATTATTTAATCTGTTTTCGTCAAATAATCAAACCACGTGATCATTCGAAACGTTGGCATTGGTTAAGAACCGAAATGCTCCGTTCAGCCCGACATATCCGTCTTCAATGCGTCAAATCCTTAGCAGTTGGTACAGCGTTATAAAATAGGCCATGAGTGCGTACTGGGAGCAGGAAGGACAAGCACCATGCACTGTCCAAGGCGTATCCTCCGCGCATAAGACGCTGGGAGTTGGAATAATACGTGGGTGTCCTCATCCAGGAAAACACTGCGAAATAATATCAGTTCCAACCTCGCGATATCAAAAAGCAAATATCGAGGTCAGATACAGGCCTCTCTAACCAAAGAATGCTGGAGCAGCTGCTTGTAGTTAACCCAAGGCCGGGAACCAATGACGGCTGTCTGCCAAAGGCACAGAAGAGAGACTTTCTTGCCTGTGACCTCGTTTAACTACACAGAAATTAGTTCTTCTGCACACAGATCCGATGCTACGAGAACTAGTTACAAGGCACCGAAGCTGCGAGTACGTACGTACATACCTGAGTCCATTAGTGGGTAGCGAACCACAATCCGGCTTAGACTGGCAGATAAGACACTTGCAGCTGAGCGTGCGACGGGTTATCACGTTTGTAGGCGGTAACGGGCAAACTACGAAAGTTACGAAATACGATGTGGTCCCACGAGTAATGCATTGCATGGCGTGTCATGTTGAGAAATTACACTGTAATGACGTAATAAGTTCGTCGTGGGAAAAAACAAAATGGGGGATCTGAAATTTGGGTCCAGCTTATTCTTCGGCCAATGTAAAGTCTGTCGGGCCCTTGTCACCACGGAGGGATGCGTCCACGGGTTGTGGGTGGGGAAGACTGGTAGAGGTTACCGCAAATATAATGCAGAAGCAGTCACCGACTGTCAACGAAGGGTGGTCCTCCAGCCTGGGTGTTGGGCTGTCAGAAAATACCAGCATGTTATGAAATGTTGCAGAGGGCTCTGACTTGGGGATTCTTTGCAACATGAAGCGGACAAGAGACTTGGAACTTGGAATGTTGCAAGTCTTTGTAGGCCAGGTTCTTTGAAAACAGCATCAACAGAAGCTGGAATTAGTGGGAGTACAGGAGGTCTGATGGGACAACAGGGACACCGAACCAGCAATGCTCTGTTACGGATCATTCTGCTCATCATCAAATGTCTGCATGGAATAGCAATTCTGTGGCATCCATTAAATTCTGATCTCTGGCCTTTGAGGATGCCGCCAGTGACACCAGCCGTTTCAGTCCGGTGCCGAGGCGAGGAATGTGCGGAGCTTTACCTCCATGCCTCCTGCACGTCAAGCAATTGTTGCAGTAGTCAGTCAGAACTTCTTGCTCACTCCTTTAGTCACTGGGATTACAAACACAGATGAAGTTAACTCGACTCCAGCGACACGGTCATCAGGGAGAACCCGCAGGCACGTGATCTTACGCTCGTTAAGCGGCACTCTTGCCCACCACAAGCACAAGAAGACCATCCTGGCCCGCAGACACAATGAATCAATCCTAATTACAGGTTTCATAATAAATGGCTATGGAGGGTTCCAACTCACTCAATGTGACAAACAAAGCACGCATCGTTGCTCTTGATTTTATACATACAAATATATTAATAAATTCTTTTAAAATCCAACATCATTAACATATCTGACTATAGATACAATATTGCAGTGACAGTAAAACACAGCCTCTCGAGATAAAGCATTCATCAACAGACAGAACAGATGTTGCATCCTCAGTACGTCATGCTCTTTAGCTTCAGGCTTATGCAAATGAGTTACACAGCGCAGACATTTGGCGTCGCTACTTTGTAGCCCGTGTTAGTAATATTAGTTACGTTAAAATACACGCACGTCTTACAGACATTACGTACCCTGCAGCGTCTATATGAGGTGCGCAGCACTGCCTTCTGTGTCAGTATTGTGAAAATTTAAAATGTCACACGCACAGCAAGATCAAAGTGACGGGACTGAAACACAAATGTGCCATTTTATTTTAGTGCTTAGAACTTCCAGGAAGAGAAGCTTTTCTTCATGTTAGTGTAGAGCCTGGAACACACAGCTTCCGAATGTGGATCTTTCAGTCAAAGTCGAATTAAAAGTTACAGATTGCAGTCAGATGTGTACTGCAAATCCTGTACGAAGTTGCAAGAAGCGACTGACAACAAGAAACGTGCCAAAAAGCCGTGACAGACGTCGTCACCCCACATTCAGCTGTCCGGGAATCTCTCAGAACTCCTCTTCCTTCTCCTCAGTCTGCACCAAGTTGTCATGGTAGCTGAGCTCTGAGCCACCGAGAGCCGGCTTAAAGTGGTGCGGTGCCACGCTGAGGGTCGGATCCTGCTGATGCTGGTGGTGGTGCATCAGTTCATGTCTGAGGCGCTCCAGGTTCACCTTGATGTGGTCGCGGTCTTCGAGCGTCGCGGCGTTCAGCTTGTGGTCTGCCTGCCGCAGCAGCTCGCGCAGCACCGTCTCGTCCAACTGGCCGCCTTCGCCCAGCGTCTGCAGCAGCAGCAGCAGACGCTCATTCATCACAGTGTCGCCCTCACCACTCTCCCCACCTGTGGAACAGAAATTTGATTGGGAAACCTAAACTCAACTGCATTTGTTCATGACAGACTTCACTGATGTAGCTCTGTAATTAGTGAGTTTCACAAGAACAAGAACCTCCTAACCAGCTGAAGGAACGTCTGCAGCTTCGAGTTACTTGGGAAAAAATCTGACCCTTTAATGAATGGGAAGAACCACTAATAAGACGATTTAAACTGAAAAATGAGACCGAACCACTAATAAGACGATTTAAACTGAAATTTGAGACCGGGTATATTTAGTTTCAATACAGACAAATGAGTATAAGAACGTGAATAAAGTCCCCACAGTGGAAAATTCTTTGACAAATCTCTTGTAATGACACAACACCCTAAATGTGTCGAGGACTTTTGGGTGTCCAGACGCGATTTTAATGTTCAGTACGTAATTTGACCACGTGACTACATTACCATCTCTCTGCACTATCACAATGGACTCACCAGTGGGGCCTGCGGCAGGACCCTTGTTCTGCGTCTTCAGCATAAAGTCGATGAGATCCCCCACGTCAGGAAGCGATGCCTTGTGGTCCGTTCCTACCTCTCCGTCCCCCGACGCTGACAGGGGCGACATCGCTCCGACGTCGTCTCCCGCGTCGCACGTGCTGCAACTGCAGTTCCTTATGATCTGGACCCGTTTCTGGAGGCTCTCTGGATCTTCGCCCGTGCAGTTAAGGGTCACCTGCAAATAGCGAGGGTTGCCAAAGCAGCTGTAATACCAAACGTGCGCCACACCATTAACGTGGGGCGACAATTTCATGCTGCACTAAATCTGCCAGGTACTATAACATCAGTGCCACACTTCATTACCTGAAACTGTGAAGGTTGTAAGACACACCAGAGTGGGGTGTGAAGCGGACATTCATTACAAGAAAATGCATTACGCTATATAGATAAACAGGTCAAAAATTTAGGAGAATAAACAAAGAAAGCAAAACAAAAGTGTAATAAGTGTCATCAGAAAGGAATTTGGTGAAGCAAAGTAATGCCAGACCAGGCATCTACTCTAACCTGAATAAATGAAGTGGGGAATGGTCTGCATTTCTTACCGTATGCGACGACCGGCGACTGTACCAAAGCCTGACTCAAACAAGAACGATGGGACGCGGCTTTACTTACGTGGTGCCAGGTGACAGTGGAGGGCTGGCAAGAGTCACAGTAGGGCTTGATGAGCTCGCCAGGGGCACTGGGAGCAGTGCGAGGGATGCTGTAACTGAAGCACGCCCCTACACACACATTGTTGTCTATCTCGACAGAGTTGCATCCTGGGAAGGCCACCACCTGCTTGATGGGGGTGGTATTGCACCACGAATGCTTGTCAGGGTAAAGCACGATGTTGTGCACCTGCGAAACACGATATTTCAATGTTTGGTCCCTACTACTCACCTCCACTGCCAACATGTCATTCAGTTAATCTGTCAAAATCAGTCAACCATTTAAGTGGTTGTTAAATAAGTCTAATTGCCACCCACGCACTGAGCTACTATCTTTGAAGGACAAAAGAGTTTGAATGGAATGAATTACATTCTTACACTCACCTTATGTTCCCTGTGTGCAGTTACAGACCGTGCTACCAGGCAGCAGCACATGACAGCCAACAGCCTCCTCTCCATGTCAAGCTTTTACGTGGCTGTAATCAGGTAAACTGCATGAGAATATAAGAAAGGGGTGTGAAGGTGGGTGTGGTTATCCACACCCATACGCTGCCCTCGACTTCAGCAATGTGCACTCAGAGATGGGAGGGCTGGCCTCGACAATGAAGTACAGACTGAAAGAAGCTGGTTCGTGATGGAGCAGGGTGGCTGCGTGTGACCTAGGTGGAGTGGGCAAACTTCACGAAAACTATGGCAAGACACTGTAAAAACAAATGAATGGTTCCAGGGCTGATGAATGGGATGGGTGGGTCGGCTGACGTCACGAGGTCATTCAACCACGGGGCCTGGTTCCATTCAAAAACAACTGAGCGCTCCACCATAAAATACGCCTCGACCACTTCCACCGGGCAGCACGCTCCTCGAGTTCACAAGTTTCACTTCTACAAGGGGGGTGGACGGTAAAAGTGGCGACCACAAGAAACAGATGGCAACACCAGTCATGCGCAGGTGATACGGAGCAGCTGAAGCAATTACGAGAAATAAAACAAAGCTCGTACCAAAGATGGCACGCAAATAGACAGCAGCGTAAGAAATGACGACGGTATGAAAGATAACAAATGAAGGTAACGAATAAAGAAACAAACAAAATGAGCGCTGAGTTGCGCAGAAAAACTGGACTTGCAACCGACAGAGCTTCAAGGCAGCTTACGTAACACGCAGCGACCCCAGCGCGGGCCCCAAGTTGGGCTTTCTTTGAGGAGGTGGGGGGGGGGCGATTCTCTCGACGAACATTCTTAAATCAAAAATTTAAAAAAAGAAAAAGCATTTCCGCCGATCACGGCTGTCCCCTCGCTCCTTCCCAACATTCAGCAAATCAAAACAAATTTAAAGCCATGTCTGCAGTCAAAATGTTATGACACGCGACGCCACGATGCTATTTTAGGGCGCAGTGTTGCCAGCAGGCCGACGCTACGCCCAGCGTCGCGAACTGCTAGCGAGGGAGGATGGTAGAGTCCTGCTGCTGTTCCGACAGTGCCTTGGTTCGACTCTGCCCTGCGGCTGCAGACTGCTCGCGGCCAACATAACGGAAGACAGACAGACACACGGGTCACCTGCAATGGGAGTGGCTAGTTGCCATGACAGCTCCAGGTTCCATTGTTGACCACTTTTGGTTCAGACATCCACTTAAAAGTTCTTGTTTAATTCCTAATAATTGCTAGCGCAAGGGACGGGGCATCAGATTATTATTCCTATTTATAGAAGTGATTCTTCTCTGCGCTATTGGCAACGAGCGCAGATCGGCCAAGATCAGACACTGGAGAAAAACGGGGCAGAACACCAGACTTCCAGAATTCGGTATGCCCATGAAACCTAGTTCGGCTACTTCACTGACTAACGACGCCTTTCCCATTCAGAACGGTCTCAAACAAGACGTTGCTTTTTTGCTGATCTGGAAGGCATGCGAAAAAGCATATGGTCATGTCACGTGATGAGACTGCAGGCCAAAATCGTAACACAAAAGATCGCGAGTGAAAATATTTATTTTACGAAGTGCAACTGCACGAGGAGACGAGAAATCCGTAGAAGCATCTTTACGGAAAACCTGAGAGGAAGACACCACTAGGGGAAACCTGGGCGTAGATGGAATTATAACGAAGTGGTCGTGACCTATTACTAGGGGAAACCTGGGCGTAGATGGAATGATAACGAAGTGGTCGTGACCCATTTCACGTAACTATAGCAATTTCGATACACGAAGAGCACTTCACTGAAGACACCCGATCTCGGTTCCGAGGCGCGAAGACGTGAATGAACAGTAGGACGCTGAAGCAATCTGCGCGCTGGTCGTACACTGGTGAAACCAGTTTATAAGCGTCTGACAAGTCTGTATTTCCCGTCATGCCTCCCCAGCAGAGACCGTGAACGTACCTGCAATTCGTGTCAACAATCCGTTTTAATAATATCCTGTCACCTGCGTCCAACCACAAATGGAAAGTGTCAACCCGAGCCTGTCTCAGCGTGTGACGTCAGCGAGCAGTGGGCGGAAGGAATGAGCACCGCTTACAAAGGGCCGTAGAGAAAGTTACCGCGATGAAAACCCCGAAACGTCTGCAATATGGCGATCGACAGTGGGGTTTGGCCTTGCAAGAACATACGCGGATGAACCCGACCGAGCAGCGGAACTAACCAGACGCACGTCACAAAACACTCACCTGAGAGACGCAATAATGTTCCAGCCGACAGCTCGCTCCAGCACCGACTGGTTGCTTACGGCTGCTGCCTCTGAACGGGTTTCAAACATCTTCTTCCTCTCTCTCACCTTTACCTTCGGGTACAGTCCGCGCCAACAGCGACCTACATGCCGCGTGCGCGCGCAAGGACTGCACTCCGTTCTGTTACTTGCGGATCGGCGGGTATTTACAGCGACTGACGACGAGTTCTTAGACATTGAGCAATTCGTGTTTGCTTGGAGATCACCAGAGTTCATTGTTATGTCTCCATTGACACTGCCGACGTTCCATAGGATTCTGGTCGCTACGGAACTACGTAACAAGGAAGCAACAGACCACCACAACACAACATCCTGAGCCAGTTCCATCCTCACAATCTCTGTCCCACATGCATCTTAATGTTATACTTCCATCTCCTTCTTGGTCTTCTAAGTGCTGTTTACAAAAAGGATGGATCTTCCTTGTCTGCACCCCTTCCCTGGCTTCACAAAGAAAAGGCCAGAAGAATTCAGTTCACATTGTCACACCCCATGTAAAACCTTAATAGTACCTCCCATCCATGTCTAGGTCCTGTAAGTGGCCTGTTTCCTTCCGGGTTTCTGTGTTTCCTCACCTCTCTTACGCATACTATATCTAATGGTCACTCATGTAGGGTGGGGGGTGGGGGTGGTACGCCGCAATGACTGTTCAAATCTCGACTCAGACAGTACATAATTCTTGGATGAACAATCAAAATGGCAGTTCACTTGCTACAAAACGCAAGAGACTTATAGACACAACGAAGGGTGCCAGAAATATAAAAAAAAGTCACAAATTACATCCTGAAAAAAGTACCAATTAAACAACTCCGCAATGAAGACGCAATCAGCCGAGTCTGTGCTCTCTTCTTACACAGCCAGCAAAGTGACAGTAAACATAAAGGCACTGTGAAAGCATAAGAGAAATATCCACAGCATAAAATACGCTTCTGTGAAGTGGAACCTAAGGGCTGTGTCATTCTGAGGGATGTACTTAACATCAGAAGGTGGAAACTATTGGTTTGAACTCAGCTGTAGTAACAAATATGTATCGCGAGATTTAACCTTTAAAGGAGCAGCAGTAACTTTCAGTACTGCCTATTTTAAACACCGAATAATTCAAAATATTGTCCACGGAGTGTATTTTGGAATTTTGTTTATTTGTAAGCATAAACAATTTCTTTAGCTTAGATTTGGCATGCTTCCCCAGAGACAAATTTTGACAAGTTTTGTGCTTCAGAGGGCTAATCTGCTCACTAGACTCAGAACAAAGTAGATGTAGATTCTGCGCTGATTCAGATCAAGATATTTTTGTATGACCAGAAAAAGCCTTCATAACACGACGCGCGGACACAAAGTGATGGGTTCTTCTTTGCTGCCAACTTTAGCAGATCCTATTGATAAAATGACTGGAAGCAGACGAGAAACAACACCAAATGCAAAGAAACTCTATAAAAATCACAATAATTTTGTAAACATCATCATTTGGTGTACATTAAAACTGGTGCTTAAATGCATAAATGGCATATCTATTTGTTGTCTTATTCTTGTTTCACCGTGATGTTAGCAGCACAGTGACAGTCCGAATTGAAACATCTGACATATATCCCTTAGACTTTAAAATCCAAAACTTCTGTAAGTAATCAAAAAATGTGTTTTCATCAATATTATTTTAGGAAATAACTTGTACAGAAATCTGAGTAGCATGGACACGCTCTGATTTAGAGAAACAGGAAGCAACCACCCAGCTATGCAAAGTAAATAAACATAACAACCCATCACCTAGTGCAGACTTATTAAAACTACGTCCAAATTCCAGAAACAAAAATGTACGTTTTGATTCTGCGAGTAGAACTATAGACGCTGTTACGGCAAAAGACGCGCAAGCAAGCACAGCCAATTCTGGAGCTTCATGAACGTCTTACCTTGCAACACCATGGGTGGTGATCTGATTTGTCTCGTGCAGTCTGATGTGGCGCGTGAGATTCGCTTTGTGGATGAATGTCTTGTGGCAGAAGTGGCACATGTGGGAGGCCACACCAGCGTGGATCTTCATATGCGAGTCCAGGGTGTGTTTGTGAGCAAAGGCTTTGTGGCACTCTTGGCAGGGAAACATCTTGACATTACTATGAGTCCGCACGTGCACTTTCAGTGCGTCCTTCATCCAGAAGGCCTTGTGGCAGACCTCGCAGCGGAAGCGTCGTTCGCCCGTGTGCTTCAGATAGTGTCGCTTCAGTGCAAACAGATTGTAGTAAGACTGAGAGCACTGGTCACACATGAACTGGGGGCTCTGCCCATTGTGGAGCATCAAATGGCAGTCCAGCGACTGTTTCTTCATGAAGCTCTTTTCACACTTGTTGCATTTGTATGGCTTTTCTGGAGCATGAATTTTCATGTGGTTCTTGAGTGTCCCCTTCAGGGGGAAGGACTTACCGCACACGGTGCACTTGAAAGGCCGAAAATCCGCGTGGTTCGCATAATGGCGCTTAAATTCTGCACATATGGCATATTCTTTCGGGCATTTGTCACATTTAAACTCTTTATTTGCAGCATGAGAATTCATGTGTTGCACAAATGTACTCTTGTATACAAACGCTTTCTGGCAGAGGTCACATACAAATGGTTTCTCTCCCGTGTGCAATGTGTAGTGCAGGTCATGTTTCTGTCGTGTTTTAAATGCCTTATCACACTGATCGCACGGATATCGATTTAAAGACGTGTGAACGACCCGGATGTGACGCATCAGCTGTTTACGTTCAGGGTATACTTTGTTGCATGGCTCACAGACGAACGGTGCCTCTGAGTGCCGCTTCATGTGGAAATGCAAACTGGACTTTGTCTTGAAACAAGAACCGCACTCATTACACTTGAACCGTCTCTCAGTCATATGCTTGCGTTTGTGGGTGGCCAAGTGACTCCGTTCCCGAAATGCCATACCACACACATCACAGGGATGGGAATCCCGCTTTCTGCTTTCACTGTCACTAGGAACATTATCACTGTCATTCTCATCATGGCTTTCATTACCACCACTATCACCATCTTCATCTTCATCTTGGTGCTCGAGGGGACCTGACTCACTCCTGGACTTAATTCTTGCCTTCTTCAGGGCAGTTAGGTCAGTGACAGGCTTCCTACAACACACAACATGCAGCAATGTGCTCTACAGCTTCTGTCCACCAATAAAAAGTTCACTGCCACAAATGGCATAGAATTATGTCTAACCATAGAAAAAACTTGTGCACAATACTTTAATAAAAGTAAACACATGCACTCAACATCAGTTTAAGTGTTCTTAAAATGCACAATCTCATCTTGCACCTCTTTATAAGTTTAGTCAGTACAGACAACGCAACAATTTTCTCTCTGCCAAAAAATAAAGATTAAATGATTGAAATTGATAAATGAGTGGCTTTGATTTACCAATGCATCATTTTAAAACCATGTAAAGTTTTGGTTAACACCACAGTGAGTATACGTGACACGATAAACTTGCACGAGCTGCCATTAACTTACTCTTTGGTGACTGCAGTCTGACAGGGGGCAGGGCTTTGTTGCCTTGTGTTGGTATTACTGGACTTTGAGTTATTAACATATAGCAGCGTGGATGGGTCCAGCTCCACCTCTACGATCTCTTGACTGACTGTAATCTCATCCAACTCCACCTGAAACCCGACATGTTACTGCTTATGGTAGGCCTCCTTAAGTCCATTTAGTCCACACAACCATCTTCATACTTCCTTCAAATGTTTTTAAGCTCATTTTCTTTTTCACACAGTCCTTTTTTTATTCCTGAAAGATCAACTAGTTTCACATCCTAAAACATTCTGATTACCTTAATTCATTCAACTTAAATTTTGTAACCACTGCGTGCCTTCATTCATCAAACCACTGTTTATGCAGCTCCAAAATGTAATGATCGAGATTCTCTACGTCTGCAGTTCTGATATACTTTCCAATACCTTCCCAAGCCTTACTGACATTCAGGTCTGTGCACAAACCTACACAAATTTTCAATCAGAAACTGTTCTTATACCACAAAAAATTACCTTTCTTTTCATATCGAAGTTTGACAATGCTGATTTACTTATCAAGTCTGTCTATTCCATCCCACAACCAAATAATGTCCCTCTGCCATTGTCTACGTTATTCCAAAGAATCTGCTCAAGTCTGAGGTTCTGCGAAACATTTCATGACATGCTAACTTCTTACTGGGAGCAGTCCCAATCTGAAGAACCATACACTGTCAGTTTGTGTACTACTGCTTATTCAAAATTTCTGCAAGTGTCCTCCATGACCTGTTGCAATCTGAGGGCATGCCATGATGTGGTTAGAAGCAACGCAGTACTTAGACAATTACCACACCATGCTATTCCCTCATTGTGTACACAACACTTACCTCTGTCTCATCATCGTAGTCACAAAACTCCTGTGGGGACAGAGGCTTTTCTCTGTCTGGTACCTCCATTACTATACGAAAGAACGACGTGTCTAAAAACTTAAGTCGGACTAAAAATTTCACAGATAGAAATAGAAGTCTTAGAGGAGCCACTTTTATACTTGTTTGTATATTAATCTGCCAGTGCTCTGTTTCCCACCAAACGCATTCTAAAAGCAGCTGGTTTATATGTCGACATTTATAACCTCAAAATATGCCATGACGTCTATCAAATTTCGCCTGAGTAAAATAATATTACTCATACAACCGGCATCAATAACTTCAAAATATGGACAAAATCTCTACACGACAACTAATTTTCTTTTTAAGGCAGAACATTAAGCTACACACTTACAGATTTGTTCGTGTCTGCTACTAGGGAACAGAATTATTAGTAAAATATTATATTCTTGCTCCCCTTCCATACAAAGCAACCGACATGTAAAATACGTACTGTACATTCGTATAAGTAATTTTTACATTTCGACAGCCAGTCTTCCAACAGTTTTGTTACATATAGGATATTAAAGCAGCAACGCTTATGATCATAGTTCGTTCTACTCATGCCCTAAAGTCTTGCGCTAAATATACCTCCATATTGGCCATCTCGCCATTTTGAGTCATGGATGCCAACACTGACAGGAATTTCCCATGTACACGCAACATGGTAACCAATCAAGGAATAATTCATTACCCAACAAAATGAAAGTTAAAAAATTACATTTCTGGAACATAACTAGAAAATGAATGAATATCCTTAGATTACAACTTTAACGGAGTTGCTGGTAGCTCGGGCTTTATAGCATGTAATGACATGTTTAATTGGAAGGGAGATAAACATAGGACTGGCTTAATTTGATTTACTATCACAGCATTTGACAAAATCTGTTGAAGCCCAGCAAGTACAACAGTCAAGATAATTGGTCTTTGTCCAAAACTTGAACCCTACACCTCCCAGATACAAACAACTGTTTTAACCACTTGGATGCAATACTCGGTCATGATTTTGTTCAAACAGGCCAACAGTATTAAAAGTTTCAACCAACAGCCATGACATGGATCTGTGTAACGTTGCAGACATTAGTTTTTAACCAGTATACACTATTGTACTGTATTAACACCAAGGGAATGACCCATTGGAATTACAAGGACCAATATCAATACTGGTCTTGTACCATTAATATCAAAAGAAACTTATCCTTTATGCTAAACATGGAGATGCAATTCACAGAATATAAGAAAGTACAGGACTTCTCAGTGTTAAGAACATAGCGTTTTGTGTGGCTCACATAACACCTTTGTAATACTGTAATAACCTGCATGACCTTCAGGTCTTCAAAGGTGAATTCCTGACCACAGTTGAAGAAAAACAGCTTAGAGGTTTTCTGTAATACTACACTTATGCAGTAGCATTGTTTCTATTCCAAAACAACAGACAGTCTTGATGGACATGTTAAAACTTACCAAAGTAAATAGACTGCAAAGGCAGAGAAATATGTTTTATACTGCAGTCGAACTCGACTAATGGCACTACAATCAGTATCATTTTCATTATTTTGTGGCTGTTGAAATTGGTTAAAACTAGAAGAGGAACATACACAAATAGGGCCCTGTCATATGTCTTCGTGGAGATGTAAACTGGGGCGGCTCTATTCAATCATATTAAGTGCATATAAAATGTACATTTGGGTTATCCTCTTGATTTCAGATTAGACCTTATGTAAACAATTTTACTGTCTATGTGGACATATTTTAGGTGCATGATTTGAAAAGAAAGTCATCCAAATCTTTAAACAAATTCACATTCCATGATAAACAGTAACTTCACATACAAACAAATATTCACAAAATGGAAACAATGCACAGAAAACTATTTGTTGTTCATAAAATGTGGCAAAACAGTCTTGTGTGCTAACAACTAATAATCGAAAATAGTGTAATTCTGCAGTATTCATAAATCAGATCACGATAATCTTATACACCAGGGGGATGCTATCTTTCAACTGAGTTGTCATACACCCCTGCAGATACTTCTACTTAATTACAATTTTATTACGTTACAGAATTATATATAATGGATGTGAAAACACATGACAGACTGCAACAACTTTACACACACCAATAACCAGTGAACCATTCATCACTTCAATTTCTATATTATTTTGGGCCACCAAAAATGTACTGTTAAGACAGGTTTTATTGGTTCCATTAACCTATGTATCAATAGCAAGGCTTTGATTCCAACATTATGTTCACACCAAATTAGAACTATGTACATTTCAGTATGCTCTCAAGAAGTTTTATGTCAAATATGTTATCGATTGTCTCACCTTCATCTTAATGTACATACCATCAATTTGACAAGAATAACATGCAACGAGCAATCCACCTATGAGAATGACAGTCTCAAACCTTTCACTGATATGTCCAACTGACTAGTTCTGTGATATCAGAATGCTGCTAAAACACAAACACATGACTGTATACTAAGCCAGTTCAATCCAGTCAATATCACCACAACATATTTTCCCATGATCAATTTTAATAAAATCCTGCCATCTCCAAACACTGTTCAGGCCACATGCACCTACATATGGTTTAATCTTCAACACTTCAAAGAATGTGTTTTTTATGTTTTTTATGTTTGTACATGTGGCTTCTTTTCTATCCTCTTTTTGTTCTGGTATCCTTAGAACGTTATTTTTAATTTTTATAGCTAATTATTTTGGTATTAGAAAAGTGATGAGGATAATAGTTAGATGAAAGAGGGAAGGAGAAAATTATATACAATAAGGTGGTTAAAAATTTGTACCTTTCACCTGATATTCTATGGATGATTACGTGTGAGGTCTGCAAAATAGATGCATATAAAATTTTGCAAGGAAAACCTTAAGGCAGGAGGTCATTGGATACTTACGCACTTCCTTTGCAGAAACCATTTCTGTATTCCTGTTCATTTAATTTTTTCTTCTGTTCTTTTAACAATACATTCTGATATGACAGCCAATAATATTACCTCATTTGCAATTCTGTTTGGTCTCGAAAAACTGTACTGCACACAGTTCACTTAAAACTGAGTGACCGTTACATCAATTAATACTCACAAGCTACTACTTGGACAAACATTCAAGGTCCACGGCCCCTGACTAAAACAGCCTTGGTATTCAGTTCATTACAATCCACAGCAGGAGTATCGGTTCGATCGAGGGACAATCGCAAAGTTCTGAGAACTGACAGCTGTCACAAACGGCATGATAAGAAAGCCAAAATGGGACTGGGAAAAATATAACAATTTTTCAAAACAACCACAGCCTTCTGAAGGACTGCTTTTCAGTGTCACAGTGTCACATGACTTGCAGTCAAAAACTGAAACCTAGTTTTCTAAATATCACTTAATTAACCTAACTATTTTAATATCATGTGACTCATTCTTACAGTTGTGGAGCATCACTCAGCATCGCATGCCACAGGAAGGACATCCAGTGGTCACTCATCATGCATGGTGGACAGCTCCTTTATTGTGGGACCCAGCACAGAATTGAGGTAGTTCTCAAGGGCACTGCACCTCTCCCGTGAATTTGTATCATTTGCGCTGCCCCACAGCACTACGCCCCCAGCATGAAACCGATGTACGATGGCTAGAGAGTTTCGCAAGTCCTCCTGAGACAGACAAAGTGCTTACCCTGAGGAAGGATTATTATCTTAGGGGTACGATTACATATTTTACTTCAAATCTCGCTTTCAGAGTGTATTCCCTGTTTATACAAATGAAGCTCCCGTGACTTAGCCATAGTGGCGTAACCATTTCAATCAGTACAGAAGCAAATATGCCAGTACAAGAATTTAGGCGAGGTTAGTGAAAATCTTGATGTATTATATTCTCTTGACAGTTGCATTTGAATAAGAAAATGTTT